TTTGATCATGTTCAAACATATCCTTGTATCTCTGTCCAGTTAGGCGTTTTGAGTCAAAATACCACACTGCAGTTCATCTGAGCTTTTCCCTTACCTGTGTATGTCTCTTCCCTGAGACTCCTGGGGACAGTCCTCAGAACCGGAAGGACTCCTGAACTAAAAGAAACAACGTGTTATTTTTTTGATTGTGGAATAAGATATAAAAATAGACCTCCTTTTGATTTTCATGACAAAACTGCCTGTGAATACTTCAAAAGTGTTTTTATTCAATCTTTGTTTATGGGTCTCTTTCAGAAGTTTCTGATCATTTTCTTGGCCAAAACTGATGCAAAGATTGCATCCTAAAACCATCTCAAAATATTACATTGTAAAGTGGAAGTGGTGGTAATCCCAGTAAAACTCTAATTTCAATATTTTTAAATTACTTTAAGATAGAATACCTTGGTCTGGTATCTGCTGAAAATTTCAGACTGCTGCTTCCTATGGTACTGGTGGAATTTCCATGACATTCAGCTTTCAGTTAATAGATAGGAATTAACCAGGCCCCACCTTCCTCCAGCTGCTGTGCAGTAGCTTGTGTGACAGAAGATTCCTTTCATGGAAGACCTCCAGCTGCTCATTGCTGTTTGAACTTGCCCTATGTTCTGTGGAAATCTCCATATTCATTATAGGTAATGAACACAAACAGATTATTTCTAGGTGAAATGTATTATTTGTGCTTTAAATTATTATTTCCCTCCAGAAGGCTGGCTGTGTGATGCAGAACCCACATAAACAATGCACCAGTGTACAGGTGAAATTTTCACAGTGCGGATAAGCAGCCATGGTGTAGGGGCCTTCACCACTCTTCCCTTGTAATGCAGCAAGTGGACTTACTGTGTCTAATATGCTTCCTGTGCCGAGCAGCAGTCCGACTCCTCCCCTCCCTGCCACCATCCAGGCGACCATTTCCAGGTAGGTGCAAATAACTGGTGTTACTGTAAGACTCAGGTCCTTGGAGTCCATATAACATAGAACTCTTGGACATTCTGTTTGCCAAATACGCACAAAGTGTTTGCCATGTGGACTCAGCTAAGCGCCATAAAATAAGTTTTCCCTTCTTTAGCTTAGGCAGTAGAGAGTTAAAAGCAACTGGCTGAATATATGCAACCAAAAGGAAATCCCAGTGTGTAGGAAACAAGAAAATGCTGGGCTAGAACTTACACAACTTGTCAACTTTAAGATGGGTTTGGAAGACACTCCAGTCTTGACTGGTGTGTGCTTAGACTGCAAAATAAGCAGACTGGAGGATGTTTCAAGATAGAGCACTTGGTTCATCTCGTATCCATAGCTTGACCAGAGAGTACAGGCTTAACGGGAGGTTTAATTGGCTCATAGACACAGCTAAAAATCTTTGTGGGTCTGAGAGGAAGGATCGGACTGGGGCACTGCTATCCTGGATGTGTACTGAAACGGATTTTTTTTCTGTCCACTCCCAGAGCAAAGCTGTAGGTAGCACCTAGCTGTGCAGGGTATCATGCACTATACTGAGCACCCATATTGACAAAGGCAATTTGCATTAGGTATGTGCAGGTGCATTTTTACTAAGACTTTTTTTATTTAGAGTTGCTCAAAACACAAAGGGGCACAGGGCAGAAATTCTTTTGCTCTGTAGTTTAATTCAGAAGCCAGGATGCTTGTTTTTAATACTTTGTTTTTAAGGTCTACTTAAATCCTTACCAAGGATTGGAATGATCTTGCCAAGTTGAAGGCTCTTCGTATTAATTCTTTCCAATATAAAATGGGTATTTAGAAAAAAAAAAATAAAGGAGCAGCTAATGTTTTTAGCATGTTCCCCATGTTCTTCTGTACAGAACAAAATAATTAGTTAATCCTCTGATGTTGCCTTAGCACAGTACTTGGAAAACTGAAACTGAAATAATTTGGAAGTAAATTGAGAATTTTGTTAAATTTTAAACCAAAATTAGCATAGCACATTTGGGTTCTAATCTTCAAGGTATTAAAGTAATTAAAAGAGCCATTTTCAGAGAACTGCAAACCATTTATCATTTAATTTCTGGGGTTTTTTTCTAAAATGAGCCTACCTAACACCTGACATGGGTATTTCTCAGTCTATTTAACTGTCAAGGGTTGGTAATTCTCTGAACCTTCTGTTTACTAAATTTGTACATATTCTGACACATGTAAATTATTGAGATAGATTTTTTTTTTTTTACTTCAGTCGAGGGAAAAATCATTGAGGCAGTATCAGTTTCACATAGCAAGCTTTGCCAGAATACCCTTTGCAAGCATGGATTTAGGACACTCCATGGGAAATAAAAATATGTTAATCCACACTCTGACCTTTTCAGCTGTTCATTGGATCACCTTAGTAAAAACAACTTTTGCCCCTATGGAGGATCAGGTGACACCATGTCTGGAAATTTTTTTGGATAAGCTTTTTGTTTCTCTTTAACTTGCCTCTCAATTGTATAGCTATTTGAGTTCTGTGCTGATTCTAACAGAATATTGTGTCTTGGGACCTGTAACAGTATATAAGCATACAAAATGCATACGAACACGGTTACAGTAGCACTTGCCAGTTTTTTTCACCTTGTGCAGTTTTGTTTTGCAATTGACAAGAGGCTCTGATTTTGTGCAATATAAAAATTTATGTAGCGGATCCGTTTCCGTGCTTTGAAACCCACGCTGTCACCTTTACTTTTTAGTGCATGCTAATCACAAGACAAAATATTTTTTACTAATGATGAAGACAAAGCTTTGATCAGTTTTCTGTACACACAGCTTTTGTAGTCCAAGCTAGCCTCAGCATCTCTAGGGTTAACATCTTCAAAATACTGATGTTCAATGGAACTGCATTTCAGTAACTGTTCAACAGTTTAATCTTTACTTCACTGAAAGGTGGAGCTGCATGACTGTGTCTTTAAATCCCCACATATATATGTACACATACATAAGGTATAAACTGCCAGCAGTTACGTACTGTACAGTATTTATTCTTTAATTTGACATTATCCAGTATGGGTGCTGGTACAAAATACATTTTCAAATCGTACACACTGTAAATCTGGATATTCTCACTCAATTATTTTTTATAAATTCTCCCATTGGGGGTTCAGTCATTAATAGTTCCAGTTTAACAAACCAGGTCAATTAAAACGTTTTTCAAGAGGTTTGGGAAAAATTTGGATCATTTTCCTCTATTCTCTGTTTTTCACTTTTCATACCCTGCATTTCCTAATTCCAGCTGGGAGAAAAAGTGCTGTGTTGCACTTTTCTATGCAGTATTTTTGGCCAAATTAAAAGCAGGAAGTACCAGAAAGTTCACAGAAGAGCATATTCTTGTGAGATTTCTTGTCCAGCTTTACAGACCAAGAGATTCAGATAAGATTTGACTAAGCATTTACATTATTACATTTCTGTGGCATTGCCTGGAAAACTTGTATTATGGACATTTTGTGGTAAATGAGATTAATGCTTCTTGAATATAACTGAGGGAGAGTTTTGAGGTAACTAAGGTGGCAAGATAATTCACTTAGATAATTTAAACAAGCAGATCCTTTGGCCAACAAGAATTTGCACAATTCCTATAAGCTAAATTAACCCTACTGAACTTTGTAGGCTAGCGCCTTGTCCTTCCTTTGGGAGATGTGAAAAATTGCCAACTACATGTCATTGCTCCAAAACATAGTATGAAACACAGGTTGTTCAATAATTCAAACAGTATGGGCAAAAAGACCTTGCTATAGTATTTTAGTAAAAGAGTAATAAGGATGTGCGTATGACAGCAGGTTAGTAATAAAGATATTATGAAAGTAATAAATATAAAATCAAAGAAAAGCTGCTTCAGTACATAACTGAGAATTTTATGTAAACTTGAGGAACAGATCTAAGTGCTCTGTGTACAGGTACCATGGATTTTGTATGTGAGTTTGTAAAATGCTTAGCAAACTGAAATAATTTGGAAGTAAATTGGGAATTTTGTTAAATTTTAAACCAAAATTAGCATAGCACATTTGGGTTCTAATCTTCAAGGTATTAAAGTAATTAGTGCGTTTTTATCCATCTCCTCACAGGAGAAGCTTTCTACTGATAGCCTCAGACTATGGTAGATTATCTTAATTGCTCTACATTTACGATAGGTTTTTTTAATTAAATGTAGCAGTGTTTAGATGTAACCATGAAGAATTTTCACCAAATACTTTCTCCACAACATTCTATTTGGATTCAATGCTGTAAACAAGGACCCCAAATCACCCTGATTTGTCTTGCCTTCTAGTAGTACACAACCTTAGAATTTAAATGAAGTAAAGTTTTACGTAACAGGTTGAGCTGTTGGTAATCTTTTGCTCCAATGTTATAACAAACATAACACACGTCATCATTCTAGGATTTTTCGTTGCTTAGCCTAGATTCTCCAAAACTTAGCCCACATGACAGGACTGGGAATTCAGTGTTCAGTTTGACATTCCATCCCTTTTCCGAAGGATAGATTCTTTTCTGAATTGATTATTCCTGGCTAACATGAGAATAAATTCTGAGAGTCAATGATAGTTTTCATGGAATAACCCAACAGATGCAATTTCCATATACTGTTCAAGCTGGGGTTTACTAACAAATGCAACCGTGTGCAATGCTCTGTCTGGAACCATGTCTTTGGAGATTTAAAGGTCATTTCTTATCTTTCATTCATAGTTAATCAGCCTGAGGGTTAGATGCATGATCTATATGCAATTGCCGTTCCTGACTCTCCATAGAGGCAACATGTTCTCTAATGTTTAATGACTTGTTCTTTAATGGCTTTGATCCCAATCAATTGTCTGGCCGATCAGTCCCAGGGAATAGATGTCTTGGCTTATAAAAGACCTGTTGAAGATGCAGAAATCAGATTATTTAATATTATACAAGATGGGGTCAAATATACTTTCTGTTCAGCTCACAATCCTTGTATGTAACCATGTGTAACTGTACATACCACATTCAAAATTTTATTAGCACAGATGGCAGATGAATTGGCAGTACCAGGAGTTCACATCCCGTTCCTAAGCTTTCACTGTGCCTATCAGTTTCAGCCAGTAGAGCTCAATCAAGCACAACATAAAAGATCAGGTGTGTGTCCAAGAAAGAAGTATTTCTGTTGCTGTTCTCCTGAAGTGTCACAGGTGAAGTTGCATGAGGTAGCAGAGTTATCTGTATTTTTGCTACCAAAGCCAGCAACGTCTTACTCTGTAGCCCTGCTCACCAGACTCTGGTGTTCAATGCACATTGTGGCTGATTTGATTCAGCGCATGAACCAAGCACAAAACAGATCCTCCTCTAATGCTAGTTCTCTGCCAAGATGGCAATTTGAACTGCCTTAAGGAAGGGGTCACAGTGTGCTCTAACTGACAGATGGTAAAATGAGTGCATGTAGCACTCAGTGGGGAGTGAGAGAGAGATGGGAAATGCTTTCTGATGATGCAACCCATTAGAGCGGGTCAACCCATCTTTGTACCAGGACCCCACTTCTAAATGATCAGTCCTGTGAATCTGTTGTAGAGAAAAATAATACGAGCAACCACTCCAGGATAAAAAAAAACAGGTTGGTTATTTTACAGTTAGGGAATTCTTCCAGAGGAACCTCTGGAAACCTATGGGCTAGTCCCCATTTCCTTGGAGCCTGGTACCTCTGCGGTTCCTTGGCTTAAACGGAATAGACCTACTTACACCCTAAGCTTGAGAATGAAGTGAAAGCAGGGATAGGTAGTGCTGAACAAAACAAAAACGTTAGAGAGGCCACAGCTATGTTTGCCATACCCCCTTTTGTCCTTCTGCGTAAGCATTAAGGTACAGCAGCCTTTTGTACCACGACGACAGCCATGCTTTTGTCTTTTTCAGAAGATCCCAGGCTCATTCAGTGCTCATTCTTATTATTCCCCATTTTCAAAGTGTGGCCCTTCACCACCCAAATGATGCATACGAGCACAGAAACAGTTTCCTCACTGGCTTTTCTCATTATTTCTTCCATGTTTGACCGCCGGGGGAGACGCTTCATCGTCGCAGCCCGCCCTACCCAGGGCCTCGCCGGGTAGCGCCTCGCCCTGGGGCTGTGGAGCAGTGTCCCCACCTGCGTGAGTCAACGGCACCCGGCGCAGGACAAGGCCGGGGCCCGCCGCGGCAAGGACGATTTAGAGAACAAACCACGCAAGTCTGGGGAAAAGCAGTGCATTTATACTTCAGGAGCATCTGGCCAGGGCGGCTTGGGCTGCGCGTTGCCCTGCCGCAGAGGCGGGTTACGAAGAGCCGGGCAGAGGCCGCGGGAGGTGTGGCGGCAACTGCTCCGCAAGGCGCCGGGCTCCCTCCCCCCCCGCGACTACGCTTCCCATGGTGCATTGCGTCGGGAGAGGAGACTGCGCATGCGCAGGCCCCAGGGCGCGGAGGTTTTGCTTCCGGGCCGAGGTGAGGAGGTCGGGTACGGAGCGCCGGGGGCTTCCGGGGGGCGGGGGG